TCCACGACGCGGCTGTCGGCCGGCACGTCCGAGGGCTGCTTCACGGGGGTGTCGGCCCCGTCTTCCTCGAGGCGGAGGATGAACTGCAGCATATGGTCAGCATGCCGTTGCGCAACCTTCAGACCCTTACGGGCACAGCAGGTTGGTCTGAGGTAGTCCTCGACATCACCCGAAAGCGGTTGGCGCAACATACCTTGCCCACCTTCCACGCCGACCAGCTACTCCACATGCACTCCTGCCTCGGATGCCTCGCCAGCAAGTCCAAGGCCGCGCGCCGGAGCACAGGGTCCCGACACCGCGCACACACCTCGTACAGCGGGTCTACGATGCCCATGGTGAAGGACAGCGTGGCCGCCGTGGACGAGATGAAGACGCCGCTGCGCTTCCACCGCGCCTCGATGACGGAGGTGTCGCTCTGGCTGCTGCGCTCCAGCACCGCTTGGGCGAGCGCCACGATGGCCGCGAACTTGTCCTGGAAGGCATCCCAGCCCATCTCGCCGAGGGAGAGGTCGACTTGCGCTAGGATCTCGGCGACGAGGTGGTGGGCTTTGAGTACCATGGCGGCTTTGCGGTCCGTTTCGTCGAAGCCGGTCTGGTGCTGGAGGAGGAACGCGGTGTATGCCTTCTCCCAGTCTGCTAGCCAAGGTACTTCGATATGTCAGGTCATGCTCAAGCAGCGAAAGGAGTATATGCTCACGTACCGAAGAGCAAATGCTTCTCCGCATTCGTCACAGCCATATCGTAGAACCGGTCGTCGAGCTCGAGGTCCATGAAGAACACCGTCAGCTGGTTCAGCACCAGCTCCAGCCCCGTCCGCGCCTCCGTCATGGTATCGAACCGCACCGGCCTCTGCCGCTCGAACGCCTCCAGATCCTGCACGATATTCAGATCCTTCCCCATGAGCCCCTTGGACTGCGTCTGCAGCCGGCGCATCAGCAAGCACAGCTGGTCCAGCTCGACCGCGAACGCGCCGGCGTCCCAGCGCTCGTGGCCCGGGTCAAGGGCGTACTGCTGCAGCACGCTGTAGCCCTGCGTCGCGTGCGTGATGGCCTGCTCGCAGTGGCCCTGCAGCGCCTCGAAGCAGGTGAAGAGGACGCAGGTCGTGAGCATGAGGCGCAGATCCGGGGTCGGCTTCGTGCCGCCCTCGCCGCCGGGCTGGAGCAGGTGCTGGATCGACTTGTTGCACTGCTCGAGCGCGAAGCGGGCGCGCGACTCCCGCAGCTCGACTTCGGGGTTCACGGCGCCGGTCAGGAGTTTCTCGTGCAGCGCGCCGATCGCCGCGACGGCGTGCTTGACGGCGGGCTCGTGGCGGGCCGCTTGGAGGACCATGCGCTGCCAGAAGGGGGAGTCGAAGTACCCGGCCAGCTGGGGAGCGCTGTGGCGGACGAAGAATTGGAGGGCATGCTGCTCGTGTCGGTCGTCGCTCCAGGGGAGTGTGACCGGGTCTGTCGATGACCCCAGCGCAGTGTCGATGATCGCGCTCGATTGTTGGCGCACCCGTCGAACGTTGGCCGCCTCCTGCTTCTTGTTACGCGGACGGTGCAAGACCGCGGTACAGCTCTCGCAGAGCTCGATGTGGGCGTGCTTGTCTGTCTCCAGGCTCGCTCGGGCAATGCACTCGTCGCAGGGCACTTTGGCGCCCGCCCGTCGACCTCGTCGTTTGGTAGAGGGTCTTGCTTGGGCACTCATGATCAGGGGGATGATTACAGCGAGCGCTCTGAAGGCTGCCAAGGGTATCGTCAATCGGGTGGAGTTCACCACGAGATCCTGCGGCTCGCCGGGGGAGGCGATCTGAACGGCCATGATGATATATGGTCGATCCCCGAAGGCCGGGACCGGATCGGAGTGCTACCTAGACTACCAACCCGGAAGGCACAGTATCACAGCGCCGTTAACGGGGCCTTGTTGGTGCCCGGAATATGGGACGGCTTGTGTAAGCAGAGCAGGCAGAGACCCTGCTAGAATTGTATCTCGGGGGTTGGGTGCTGCTTCCGTGCAGTGGTGCACTCCGACCCATGTGACGTGCACACCGCACGTGGAAGAACGGTTTACGCTGGCACCGCAGACAGTCTCGAGGAAAGGCAGTCGGAGTTAGAGTGTCGAAGCTGTGGAAGATCTACACATGCAAGGTGCTCGGGCCTGCACATAAGGCTGAGTCTATCACCGTGGCCAATCACATCAGCAGGGCCACGCCGCGGATAGCCGCAGTTGCTCGCACCAATAATGGCCATACGGCGAATCCCGTCGCCCAAAGCTCACCGGATCGGGCGTGTGCATCGCTGTCAAGCAGCAGATTCGACATCTCGCGCTGAGGCTTCTTGCTCCTCCAGCAGGAAATAGAGCCCTCGATGCGTCTTTGAGTGCTGACGTCCCGTTGAGCCGCGTTGATCTGCATCCAGGCCGCCGGGTTGGCGACGACTACATCGAGCCCCAGATGTGTCTCCGACTCCTTCACGTACCCGGTACACCGTTGCACGGTTATTCCCGTGCCCGCCATGTCGACAGCTGAGTTCCCCAAGTCTGCTGCGGCTCACGGCGGTTCGTCGTAAGCATCGGTGAGCGCTCGGTGGGATCGGGGCCGCCTTTCGGTGTTCAGCCGCTGGATATCTTAGGCACGTCGGGTGTCGATCCTTCTTTGGCCCAGAGCCAGTTTCTGGAGCGCCCACCAGGCAGTACGCCAAATAATTGCGTGCGGCCCGGGTTGCGCTCACACACGCTCAAAGACTTTGGGGTGGTTGTCGCATGGCGCTCGCCCAGGCACAAGCCTTCTTACCCCTCAAGTGCCCTTCAGTATGCCCTGCCATTCGATCCATCGCCTCTGCGCCAGCTCAACACACCGCCCCAGATCTGCTCGACCAACCATGCCACCACCAGATTTCTCCACCGTCAACAGCCGCCCACTGCCGCTGTCATCAGCCGCTACCACCGCTGTCACAGCCTCTGTGCATACATCCTCCTCAAAACCATCGGGGTCGGCTAAAATCCAACACTCCGCCTCAGCGCGCTGTCTGAGCGGTGAGGCAGTGCTAAAGACGGCAAAGGTTGATGCGACGGGTAAGCACCGCAGCTGCAGCTTCCTGGCCTCAGACGCCAGTGGCGAGCATATAATCGTCTCGTGATCTGGATCCCACCAAGCCTTCGGCAATCGTGTACTCTGCAGTGCCGCGATCACAGACGCCCAGTTCGCATCGAAGGGATTCCCATCGAGCGCGATGCATAGAATGTCAATGTATAGCGTCCAGTAGGCCTTGGTCACCACCTTCGGCCCGGCATCTGGGATGTCGTCCTCGGTCGGCGGTTCCGTGTACTGGATGCGGAGGTCGTCCAGAGTGATCATGTTCGAGGTGTAGAGCAAGGACAAAATGCGGTAGGAGAGCGCTTGTGCCAGGGTGCTTGGAGGGTTGCCGGGCAGATGTTTGGGCGAGCAGCCGGTACTCAGCTCGACATTCGGGACGAGCAGACCGAGGCTCTCGATCATGTCTTCGTCACTGGTCTCCTCGCCGGGGAGATGCGGTATGTCAGAGGCGAGCAGGACTTCGGCGCGGACGCCACAGATGATTGCCGTGTCGCCTAGCCGTACGACTGCGCTGCCATTGCTGTGGCTGAGTGAGCCCGTGTTGATAGTCGGGCTCCGGAACTCGTCGAGTGATCTGCCGTTGGGGCGGACAGGCTCCTGCTGCTTGAGGTGCGCATGGAGGAACGGCCCCGGTGTGAGCTTCGCGAAGGTTTCTCGCGGGAACGCGAGCCCGGGCGCTGTCGCTGTGCCGTTGGCCATGATCATCCGCCGTCGTTCAGTTCATCCTCGCAGCCGACTTGGAGTCCCAAACTCGGATGCAGGTTCAGGTCATGTAAATGTTTTGTCGTTGGCTGGAGATCTGAAGTTCTGCAAAAGGTAGTCCGCCAAGCCCGCCAAGCGGCCGCGTTGATGACCCACGACTTCACCTCCACTTCTGCAGTTCGTGCGGACTTCCCCGAGCCAGGATCTAGAGCAGCCATGTCGCGGATGGAGGCCATGGAGCTGTTTGAAGTCCCGGCCGCTCCTCGGTTAAACAAATGGCGCTACATAAATAAAAAAAAATCCCGCGTCTAGCTGAGCTTACTGTCGAAGCTGTCCCGCGTGGTTAGTGCATTGTACCACCTCATGAATCAAACATGGACTAATGGACTCCTAGGCACAATTGGCTAGCGCGTGAGACTTTTATCATGAAAGATCATCTCAAGGTTGAGAGTTCGAGCCTCTCCGCGGTTGGTGTATCCCATAGAAGCGGTGTGAAACATTCGCTAATAGATCAATTTCAGGGAGTAATATGCACGTTCAAATCGTGTTACCCATCACTTTTTGCTGTTGGAACCCATCAACGAGTCTGGCGTGAAGCGGCGTACGCAGTCGGGCTTACACAAAGTCGGCAGCCCACCCCCTGGTTTTGTGGCGTTGGTACTCGACAGTCTACTTCCACATCAAGCCAGCCGCTGGACGTTTTCAGCGACCCGAATCGGAGTCACCACATCGTAGACTTTTGTCGTGCATGTAATGGACAGGACAGGCATACAAAAGCGGACTACATGGTATCCCGAAACCAACCCCAACAAACACCTAGCGAACGCCTCGCCTCGCAAAGCCCCCCCACCGTGACCTTTTTGCGCGCACGGGGAAGGCCCAAAGTCCCTCGCTATATACAAAGCTCGCCCAACCCCCGCCCATCC